AACAATGTGCCTGATCACTTTGTAACAATGTGCCTCACCTCCAGCATTTTGAAATTTTTCCTCTCTGAGATCTTAACTTCATTCCAAACTACTTCCACTCCTTCTTCTGTGTCCATAGCCAAGTATGCAGCATCAATCCCTGGGACGTTACGCTGATTCACCTACATTTAAAGGGAAGAGAGGCTCATGAGGTCAGATGTTTTACTACCAAAATGAAGCAGATATCAAAAACACCTTCCTCAAGTTTTGTGTTTTCGTCATCTTTTTTTATTCTCTCCAGCATTTTGTTTTCATCTATGCCTCATTTTATAGTTTACCTCAATGATCCACCCTTACCTCTTCTTTACGTTTCTGCCAGCGGCCACAAGGGCTCTCTTCCAGAATATATGATTCATCTTCACTTTCGTCCTCATCCTCTGTCGCTGAGATAGTACTAGGCTGGACAGAGGACACAGATGGAGACACAGAGGGTCCACTTTGTACCTGGTGGGTAGTACTGGACATGTTTCCTGATGTGAGCTCTGGCTTTCCCTCAGTACAGGGAGTTCCCCTCTCCTCTGACTCAGACATCATAACACACAGGTTCTGAGTTGAAACAAGTGACACAATGTCTCTTTCTTGTTTCTCCTTTCTCTGTTTGAACGAGTCACACATCCATCTTCTTCTCAGGCAGGCTTTTCAACAACGTAGCGATCAGAAGGGAGGACTGTAAACAATAACACATATGTATAGAACGTGAGAGGGCTTCTATGGGTTTTTTTTTTATATAACAAGGACAACGTGTTCTAAGAGGTAGAAGAGTTGAGAATCATTCCCATTTATGTCCATATCGTGTGTTAATAACATCTGTATTGATTAAAAATGGCTGTTCAACATCCAAAGGTGTTTTCACGAAGAATGGATGAGTCGTTAGTGCTAATAAATTAGCTACAATTCTTTCCAAGTAGTAAGAAGTTAAGATGCATTCAGGATGCATTAGCAAAATTTGTAATTCACATTTCCTCTCCGACTCTAGTTTCTTTACCTATAATTATGTGTTTAAGTTACTGAGAGAGGAAGCCCTGCGCTTTACTGATAGCTTAGACGCAAAATGACATTACTGTTACAGGAGACTAAATAACTCGTGTAAGTGAACTTATTTGGTTAGGTTCCTGCTAGTGTTCAATGTTAGCTTAAAGTTCAACCACCCACTCCTTGGCTAACTTTCCCCAGGCTAACAAGCTAATGAAAGGTAAATAAACAGATTGCCAACATAAAAAGTTGAACAGCAACATACTAACGTCTTACCGTGGATCACGAGAGCACCGCAAAGTTAACAAACAGCCCAGGGTTACATACTGATGGAAAAGCTGCAAAGAGACGGCAATATAAAAAATGTTAGTTCGCCATAAAAAATGTTGCAGGGTTTCAAGTCCCTTTCGCACAGCATAAGTGGGAGGGGCGGGGCAACACTTGAGGAGCGCTTGCTTGCGCACAGAAAACGCAGAGCGGTGAGTACGTCGAATAACGCTGTTTAAAAATGTTACACAAAAAGGCTACATTATTTTTGTCCAAAGCACTAGGCCGGAGTTCGAAATTTAGCTGTGTCTGGGTCCATAATTCCCCTCGATGTTGTGTGGGAGTGGTTAATATTTTTATCCAAACTTAACAACGCATGATCTAACAGACACACACAAAGAAAGAAACAAAATGTTGTGTCTGATAAAACAAATTAAATAATAAAAAAAGAAGAACAATATATAGATTTTTAATATTTTAGAAAAAATAAATAAAATAAATAAATATATAAATATACATGGAAAAAATATATATATAATAGATGAATGGATGGTTACATATAGATGGATATATATACTTTGATTTTGTTTTTACTCCATCACACGATCGTTGAGGCTAAACACCATTAAAACTGTGTGATTATTTGAATTTGAGCTATTTCATATTCATATTTCCGCAACTGAAAAAAAAAATCGAGTAATCGGAAAATTCCGAGTTAGGTATCTCAAATTTTCAACCTACCAAGTATATAGTTTTGTATTTATTTTTATGCTGCACTTCTTTTTTTTTTTACCGTGCAAAATAAAATGCATTTTGCTCTGGCGACTTGTGTTGAACAACAATCCAGATAGATCCCTTAATATGAGATACAAGTTCAAAAGTTCTCACTGGGCATTGTAATTTCATAAATATGTGCTTGTATGGCATACGACTATTTTAGTAATTAATTAAACGTACGTATCTCGTGCCGGTTAGCAATACTAAATTAATTATAAATTAAAAATAATTTTCCCCTTAAAACATTGTTTTAGCGATTGGCACCACGTGGTTTCATCGAAAGCGGAAGTTGCTAGAGGGGAACTCTCTTGCCTTTTTTTTTTTTTTTTTAGCTGGCTCGTACAGCTGTTTCACGTTGCTAAAATCCTGCGCAACCTAGTATCCACGATTTACATCTATGCAGTGATGCAAACAAGCGCGCAGGGAAATAAAGGAATTATTGTGTGGCTGCCTTTTTGATTAAAAAACACTCCCAGCCCGTCTTCGCTCACTATGCGGAGGCTTCATGATAGCAACGCGATTCACATAGGTCGTGTATAACTGATATTTTATGGAAGGTGGAAGCAGGAGAGGCTGTGAGGCTGAGGAGTCGGGGCATCAGCTGAGCTGGGGACTGGAGCGTTAGCAAGCTAGCCTTCGTGACAGAAACGTTCATAACGGAGCAGCGACTGTTCGCTGGTTCACTTCATCATGGCCACAAATGGTAACAGTTTAACGCCTGCGATGGGAGAGATCATTCAGTTAAACGTCGGTGGGACGAGGTAAGCTTCGTCAGTGGGACACCTCAAAAGATGATGGCAATTATTTGTGAAATTTGAGCTCCTGTGGGTAATGATGTGTGTTTACATGGACAAACAGCCACGGATGTAGCTCGAGTAGACACACCACACAAGCTTGTTTACTTGATCGTTACTCCTACTTTCTTACACACGAGGGATAATGTACACACTGAAAATACACAATATATTAGTTTCATAATAAAGGCAGTTTTTTCTTCTTCTTTTAGCCACACCAGTCATTGTTGTGACCACTAATTATACCTCTTGGTCGACAGATTGCCCAGTCACGATTTTAATGATGCAACTTTCTATTTTTTCACAATACTGTGTTTTGTTATAATTCATACTGCAGGTTCAGCACCTCCAGACAGACTCTGATGTGGATCCCAGACTCTTTCTTTTCAAGGTTTGTAAATGCTGCCAGACTCTTGTAAAGCACATGGGATATATTTGGTTAATACACGGAGCTGATTGCGTTACTGCTCTTCCCTTACTGCTGCTACCAAATAAGAAGCTCCACTTTAGTTGTAAATTGTGTGACTTCTCTGTATTGTCTACAGCTGCTGTGTAGAAAATGATCTAAATGCATATAGCAGTCAGACTCAGTGAGCATATTACTATGCGCTCATTCATATTACATAATTAATGTTAAGTATGGATGTTACATTATGTCATTTCTGCCCTACTTCATCCCGCTACAATCCCAGTGATGGTAAATATCAGGGGATTAGAATTACTATTCACTATTACCGGAAAAAGGTTCATAATAAAGTAGTCCTCAGTGCAAAAGTGTTCAATGTAAATGTTATAATAAAGGTATTGGAATGTGTGGCTTTTTTAAAATCAGATTTTAGCCTTAGAGGGAATCCTACCCTCTAAGGCTAAACAGCTGATTGGGGCTAGGCAGATACCAGAGTCCTAACAAACTCAAAACACTGGACTGGCTCACAGTTTGACAACAGCTGACCAAGTAGTGTAAATGCCTGCCAAGGCACCTGTCTGTCTGCCCGTCTGTCAGTCTATCTGCTCTGCTGCCAGCTGTCTGAAGTTGTTTTTTGTTTTTTTTTCATGCAGACTCTTTCAGCTTAATAGTCATAGTTAATAACAGCACACACTGACATGGTAATAATTTGTATTTCAGTGTCAACAGGCTAGCCAAGTGTTTGTTATTGTAAAATAATTGCTTGTAGTGGTGACACTGGTGGTTAGTGGAAATAGAGATGAGCTTTAGCTAACTGGAGTACTCTTGTGTGTGTCTCTTTTCCAGTTTACTGAGTGGAAGGATCTCCACTCTTCGGGATGAAACTGGAGCTGTGAGTAGCCGTTGCTTCCAAACTGGGGCAGCATCTGCAGGCACCATCCAACATCAGGGGGAAAAAAGGACATGACATTTTGTCTGTTACACATTACTGTTCTGAAGTACGATACATGATGCTGAGATGAGCAGATGAGCTGACATCCACTTCTCTGCTGTTGGATGACGCGCTGTTTTTGCAAGGCCACTTCTGACTTCATAACTTTAGTTGCAGAATTTGTTGTGGATTCTGAAAAGTGTTAGAAAATAAACAGAAATGTTCACTGTAACTCTCCAGAGCCGTGACATTTTCATTAACTCTCCAATCAAGTGACTTAATAGTTAGTCAGCTTTTGTTTGCGACAAACTACTGGATCTTCAGTCCTCACCAACTGATTTTCTGCCTTTCAGATATTTATTGACAGAGACCCGACAGCTTTTGCACCAATATTGAATTTCCTCCGAACCAAAGAACTGGACCTGCGGTGAGCAGTCTTAATGATGTTCAGAAAATATCTATTTTTTGGTGTAATTCTGTCGCTTTGTTCCTCGTAACTTACAGAACAAATATGCTGTTTGTTTCTCTCTGCAGGGGTGTCAACATCAGCGTCCTGAGACATGAAGCAGAGTTTTATGGGATTACTCCTCTGGGTATGTTGTGGAACAAAGTTTTAACAGGAAACAGAGTCAGCCAAGTATGAGTACAAACATTGTGGAAAGCTTATAATAAACCTGTTTTGCAGCCAATACATTTTGCAGTGTTCACTCCATGTCTCCAATATCAGCAGGTATTGCATAATAGTTGAGTAGGTTGGGGTTTATTTTGGAACGAGTATAGTACAAAGAGCTGCTGTCGTTAATGTGAAATGTTGCTCTTTAGTGAATGTTTTTTTTTTGAGGCTCAATTTAACCAACCTCGCAGCTGTAATAGTGTTAGTTCCACGTACTCTAATGTTGTTTTACATCCTGTTTCAGTGTTTGTAACTTCCCTGCATTGTCTCTGTACTCAAATGGGAAGCTTACCTCAGTGAAAGCTGATCACCTTCGTATATACAGAACAAAGTACTTGGATCTAATTTGAATCAAAGTGGACATGAACTTTGGCAAAACAAACTAAAGAACGAGATCCTGAGGAAAATTTCCATCAGTAAAGAAAAAGAAAATCAGCATCAGTAACTATATTAAGTAACCCATATTAATGTTATTATGATAATGACCTAATACTAATTTGCATATTGTTGCTTTTTGCTTTGTTTTTTTGTCTGCCCCTCTGTCTTTGTGTGCGTGCATACATGTGCAGTGCGTCGCCTGCTGTTGTGTGAGGAACTGGACCGCTCATCATGTGGTAGTGTTCTCTTCCATGGTTACCTGCCACCCCCAGGTAAAGACGTGAAACTGAGCGACACTGAAACTGAACTGAAAGATCATCCTTCTGAGGTTTTATTTAAAAATATCTTAAAAATGGAAAATGGAAATAACCTGCTTTTAAGTTCTAGAACAGCACAAAAGTGAAAGTCAGCAGGAATTTTTATTTATAAATTTCTGTTAATCTTGACAGCCATCCCTGCCCGAAAATCAAGCCCCGCATCAGCAGCCATTGGCTCTGCTTCAGATGAACGGCCAGGCCCTAGTGGAGCAGAGGGCTTCACCCGCGTTGGCCCCCTTTCTCACCCATCCTTCTCTGCCTCGCCTGGAACAGATGACGGCCACAAACTGGGCAAGTAGCCTGCGACATCTCTCTGAATACAGAAGATGAATAATAGTCATAATCTGAAGATTTTGCATGTGCTTACATCTATTATAGCAAATTGTGAAAACTCAGTTGTGGAATATACTGTAGGTGTAATCTCAGAATAAAAAACAAGCAGGAACTGTAGTAAGTGACTTGTCAGTAGAAACAGGAATCTGCCTTCTGCCTTCCCCAACAACTGTGCATCTACTGCATGTGAAGGAGCAAAGACAGTTATGATACAGTCGTATGTGTGGCACATCAGTATCTATATGCCAGTAAGAGAGTTCAGTTCATGTACAGTGTGTTTGTGTGTGTGTGTGCATCACTGCTGGAGCTAATATGACCTGACATCCTTTTAGCGTGTTAGTAGCAGTCACTGAAGTAGCCTAGTTTCAAATTGGTCTCCTCCTTGCTAATGATGGTATCATGTGATGTACATATTAGAGGTAATAAACAGAGAGTAGAGTGTCTGGCTGCTTTTAGAGATCTGAATCACATTTTAGGTAATTTAGAAACCAATAAATGAGTAATTAGCCAGAAAAAAAGTCTTGCTAAGCATGCTGTGAAAGACATGAGGTTAATGGTGTTTTGTTTGTGTGTGCAGGTCC